ACCCAACCTATGTGAAATGAAATCCCTAAAATTAGGTTAGGGTAAAAATGAGTTCCTAGATGACTTGGGAAAGCACTATCATTTTGTGTCCCATTTCAGATGCCAAAGTAAGATAGTGTTCACTGCAGTTTGAGGAGGTTGAGGATGAGGCTCCTAATCAATTAAGAATAGTGTGTACAATGCACGCTAAATAATTGACCTAAGTGAATGTGAAGTGTGGCCGATTCTAAGAGAGATCTAGGGCCGACTCTCTAAAACACTCATGATTGCAAGAGGGGAACAAAGCCGAAATGTTAAAAAACAAAAGAACCACTAAAGAATTGGTGATTGAGTTAGTTGGCAGATTAGCTAGTTACGACAAAGAGGAAAGTTTGAAGGAGTTTGACTCCACCCGTACTTTGCAACATAACCTGTCATACCTAAGTGTTGACTGAAATCCAAAATACATCACCATGAATACTTTTTCTCACTGCAATGCTCAGATTGTTCGATCTTCTTGTAATTTTGAATCTTGTAGGGGATCGTTGGAGGGAGATTCAAAATTTCAAGAATCTCTCCTCCGTCCCTTGTACTTTTTAGTTATGTCTTTTTCCTCTTCCCACCTTTGAATGCATGAGAAGAGTCATTGTCCGACATTGCTTGGGAAAGGAGTTGAGTTGGAGTATATCTATAGATTTGCTCTCTCTATGGGTAGGGACCTATAGGAGGAATGCATTATAGATATTCGCATGCATGTAAGGTGGGTTGGGGGTGCTTTTCACATGTGCGCGTCGAGCCGGGCTGGGGCGCGGGCGTGAGCGCATATGTGTACGTGTACGTGTACACGTGCACTACACCAGATAATTTTGTTTTTGACTAGATTAAACTTTTGACTTTTAAATTTCAAATTTACTCTTTAAAACGTTTTCTTATCTGTTTTGTATCTCTTCGAGCAGGTGCACTATTCTAAAGAGGCATCTGTCTAAAAGGACACTTCTATGTCCATTTGGGTGATTAAGAATACTCTATAAAAGGAGTGTTGGTCGACCCAAAAACACACACCAGTGCACTCGACACAGTCTTTTCTTCTCTATCAATTGTTCTTCTTTGAACATCATTCTCTGTGGTTCGCGGAGGTCTAGTAAGCGAGTGCACACCTACCAGTGGCCTATGAGCTGTTTTATCTTGGCGACCGATTTGCAAACACCCGACTACACCATAGGGGGCAAATACGATTTTAAGGAGAGTGACCAAGTGGAACGACTCAGCCCTTCTTTTCTCTGCAAGTTCTTGGTTTCACAGTTTTGCAATGCTACAAATTCGCAAGTTCTCAGTTTAAAAAGCGATTACTGATAAGTTTCATTCTGCATTCTTTATTATTTTCCAACACCTTACCATTGCCGCTAACGTCATTTATGACCCCATCCCACCTGACATCTCTTATATCTCCACATGACGAAAGATTTACTGGTTGAGGTGTCAGATTTGCCTAATCTTCGTCATCTCCACCTCGGCAGCAACTTCTCCGAAATAATCCCGTCGGAGTATGGATGCTGGGAGTTTCTTGAGTATATGGCACTTTCCGGTAATGAGCTTACCGGTCCTATACCACCCGCGATTAGCAACTTAACCAACAACATTTATCGAGCATATGGATCTCTCGAAGTCATCAATGAAGGGTTAAGTTCCTACATCGATCTGTCGTCCTATACCGGTCGTAGAGCTTACCAATCCTATAACTCAAGCGTTCTTGATTTACATTCCCTATTATCCCCCCATAACCCTTCATTGATGACTTCTAAGGAACTAAAGATATAAGTCAAGGGTGGCTTTAGTTCCTAGGAAAGAATGGAAGGCTTCAGTTCCTAGATCTGTCGTCCTACAAGCTCATTAGAAATCTCCCGCCTGATATGTGTTTTGGAAATCAGCTGCAGACAATGATTGCTTTGGGTAACATTTTGTTCAGTCCAATTCCGGAATCAAAACCCACCTGTATTCCAAGCGGGACCCAAGATTTGCTTAAGGAAGGACATGGCATTCTTGCAAATGAAGCAGGGTCGGTATTCTGCAGCAGTTTTGGGTTGTGTCGGTGATGGAGAATGGTTGTAGTCATATTTAACTTCGAGAATGAAAGGTAGGTTTCCGATGGGGATATAAGAAAAGAGGAGGCGGGTCTAGTAGGTACTAAGCTGTGAGTGAGGTATTATGATTTCTTAAATTAAAGAAAAAGGTAAAACAAATTAGAAAAGGGTAGTTTGAGCATTTAACAAATTTTAAACAGTTAAATGAGAATAAACGCTAACATAGGGGAGTCTTTGTCTAAGTGTCAAAGTTCAAGGGGGTATTTGTCACAAAAAAAAAAAGTGCAAGGGGCCTTCGTTACTAACCCCGTTGTGCAAGGGGTCCATGTACTTTACCCTATAATGTATTTTAAAACATTTTGTATTCTAGAACCAACCTCGACTCAGTCTAGAATATGCCATAGGTTTAAAATAACACATATGTGTGTGACATAATTCTAAAGTCGAAAAAAGCATGTATTTACATTTTTTTAGGTAAATTGCAAAGACCCCCTTTACTATACTATGAGGTCAATGACAATTACCCAACCAAGATTGTCTTAGTGAATCTAGAAACTACTCTACATCAACACAATCTTAGCCCGAAAGGAGATATACTGGGCCCAAAAAATTAGGCGGTAATAAGAATTGTTTCTTCCATACAACTTCTAGAATTTTAAGAATTAGAAAGGATAATGGAGAGTGGGTAAGTGATCAAAAGGATATTGCTAATTTCCTAAGTGAGAATATTGAAGAAAGGTTTAAGTCAGATAATACCGAAGGCATTGAGGAGTTTATGGATGCCATTAGACCGTGCATTTTAGATGACCAAAATGCATATATCATTGAGGAGGTGCCAACCGTCTCCATGAAGGATCTTAAAGCTCCAAGCCCAAATGGGTTAAATGCTTTATTTTTAAAAAATTTCGGCCCATAATTGCTAACTCATTTTGCATTGTTGTTAAAGCTTTCTTTCATTCCGGGAAGATGAATAGAATTCTCAACAAAACTTTCATCACCCTAATTCCAAGAAAAAAAACCCAAACCTGAAAATAGTTAATAATTACAGACCCATTAATTTATGTAACGCTATCTACAAAACAATCTCTAAGATCTTAGTCAATAGAATTAAACCATTTCTTGATAACATTATCTCTCCTTTTCAAATTGCCTTTATTCCAAAGAGGCATATCACTAATAGTATTCTCATTGCCCATGAAATTATGCATACCATGAGAAATAGAAAGGGCAAGGCTGGGATCATGACTTGTAAAATTGATTTGGAGAAGGCATATGACAAAATTCAATGGGAATTCATAGAAAAGGTTTTCCGTAAGTATGGATTCCATAATATATGGGTTGAGTGGGTAATGGAGTGCATTAAGACTGTTAATTATCAGATCTTGGTTAATGATGAGCCCTCTCCTTCTCGTATATTAGACAAGGTGACCCATTGTCTCCATATATTTTTTTCCTTTGTACAAAAGCTTTCATAAAAAAAAAAAAAATTACTTATGGAGACATCAGTTTCTGGTAGTCCTATAGGATGTAAGGCTTCCAAACAAGGTCCTACCATAATTATATTGCAATTTGCAGATGATTGCATCACTTTCGCTAAGATAGATATACCAGCTTGTCATGTTATCAAAGATATTCGTAATAAATTTGCCAAAGCCTTGGGCCAAGCTCCAAATTTTGCAAAAATTGAGTATTTTATTTTCAAAGAACATCCATCCCAGGTTGAGGAGAATAATGACAAGAATGCTCAGAATACCTCTTGAAACAAAAAAAAAAAATCCATTTATTTGGGTGCTCCAATTTTGAATAGTAGGTATGGCAAGGAAACTTCAAAATTTTTGAAAAACTGGCAGGTGAAAGAACTCCCTATCTCTGGCTGGCAAAGTCACCCTAATTAAGGCATCCACAAGCATGGTTCCTCATTATATTATGAGATCATTTAGAATTCCAAAGGGAGTTCTTTAGGAATTGGAAGGAAAACAAAGAGATTTCCTATGGACTAACAACAAAGATGGGAAGTCATTTCATTTAGTTTACTAGGACCAAGTTTGTACCTCCAAGCATTGGGGTGGCCTTGGTCTGAAGAATCTAGGATGGATGAATGAGGCGTGTTTGGAAAAGCTTGGTTGGAAACTATTGAATGATAAGGATAACTTATGGTCTCGTGTCACGAACATGAAATATCTAAGAAGAGATAACTTTTGGAAAGCAAAACCGGAAAAAAAAAATACTCTTGGGCATTGAAAGTGTAAAATCTAGGTCAATTGTATATTTCATTCAATATATTCAACAGTATTTAAGGATGTTACAGAAGTTTTGGTACAAGTGGCAACCTTGAGATAGGATAAGATAAGATGAAGTACAGGGAGAGATAAGTACAGTTAGAAATAAAGATAAAGAGGGAGAGGGACAAGTAATGAGGGTGGAATAATGAGCTGGAGTCTCCAGATGTGTTGGTTTCACATAGGTGACGTACACGTAATACTCCCCCTCAAGTTGGACCTGGAGCAAAAATAGATTGGACCAACTTGCAACATAGGCGCTGGAAGGCTTCTTTGCCCAGTGCTTTGGTGAAAATGTCAGGCACCTGAGAGGAAGAATTAATGTAGACTGGTTGAAGAAGACCATTTTGAACCTTTTCGCGAACAAAATGACAGTCCAATGCTATATGTTTTGTTCGCTCATGGAAAGTTGGATTCTTTGCCAGGGAAATAGTAGCCTGATTGTCAGAAAAAATGGTGGTGGATGGGAGTGAGATGCCGAGGTCATGAAGCAAATAATGGAGCCATTGCACTTCACAAGTTGTGTGGGCCAGAGAACGGTACTCCGCTTCTGCCGAGAACGTGATACAGAGGACTGCTTTTTAGATTTCCATGTAATTGGATTGGAACCAAGGAAGATGCAATACCCAGTGACGGAGCATCGAGTGGCGGTGCAACCACCTCAATCACTATTTGTATAAGCATGAAGAGTCAGCTTGCTTGAGGATGACAATAGAATACCAGTGCCCACTGTTCCTTTGATGTAGCGCAAAATGCGCAGACCAGCATGCCAATGAGTGGTACGTGGAGTACTGAGAAATTGACTAAGATGATTAACAACAAACACCAGATCCAAGCATGTGATAGTGAGATACTATAAGTGCCCAATGGCCCAATGAGTCCAACTTGTTTTGTTGTTGGTGAGGAAAATCTACTACCTTTGCACCCTGGAGACCAACATCATAAAATATATCAAGTACATATTTTTGTTGGCAAAGAAAGATGCCAGCAGCGGACTGGGCCACTTCGATGCCAAGAAAATACTTGAGGGGACCAAGATCCTTGAGGTGAAAATTGGAATTAAGGAATTGTTCCTGCTGAGATATGTGAGAATCATCATTTCCTGCCAAGATAACATCATCGACATAGACAAGAACAACAGTAAACGAGGATCCATGTTGATAAGTAAATAGAGTGTAATCAGCTTTGGATTGGGAGAAACCTGCCTCAAGGAGGGCACTAGAGAATTTAGCAAACTAGTTCCTAGAGGCTTGTTTCAGCCCGTATAAGGATTTGTTTAATTTGCACACGCGGTGCTCCCCCTTACGTGCAAAACCTGGTGGAAAATGCATATAGACGTCTTCATCAAAATCTCCATGTAGGAAAGCATTGTACACATCAAGTTGGAAGACATGCCAATTCTTTGTGGCTGCCACTACAAGTAGGCAATGTACAATACCCATTTTTGCAACGGGTGTGAAGGTTTCAGTGTAATCTATACCTTCAGCTTGGGTAAAACCTTTGGCCACCAAGCGGGCCTTGTAGCACTCGACGGAACCATCAGCCTTAAATTTTACCTTGTATACCCACTTGCACCCAATAGCATGTTTGTCGGGAGTTAAGTCAATGATGGTCTAAGTATTATTGGTCTCAAGAGCCTTAATTTCACAAGTCACGGCATCACGCCAACGTGGATCCTTGACAGCCTCGGAGAAGGATGTAGGCTCATGGTGGGTATCAATTGAGGAAAGGAAGGCCATGTGTTCTGGGTGAACACGGAAGTAAGACAAATAATGAGAAATGGGATATGGTGTACATGGTGTGCATGACGGTGATGGACTAGAGGTCTGTTGAGCGTGGCAGCAGTAGTCATCAAGGTTGCGTGGTGCCCGGCGGTCTCTAGAGGAGCGGCACACAGGTGGGTCAGGAGGGTCAAGAACAACATCAGTGGGTTCAGATGAGGTCTGAAGTGGTTCAGGAACTGATGGGGAGTTTAAAGTGTTAGTACAAACTAAACTCTCATTACCATCAGAAACTTGTTTAGGGACAGGTAAGGGAAGGGTTGGTGGGGTGCTTGCAGTCGGTAACGAGGAGTGTTGTGCAAAGGGGAAAATATGTTCATGGAAGACAACGTCACGACTAGTAAAAACATTATGGGTGTCAAGGTCAAGGAGTTTGTAGGCCTTCGGACCATGTTGTAGCCTATGAGGATGCAGCGTGCAGCGACACGCTCGTGGGCCAAATTTGTCATGGGACAGATGACCAATGGAAGCATAGCAGAGGCAACCAATGACCCAAAGATGGTCAATGTGGGGTGGCTTTCCATGGAGTAGCTCATATGGAGTTCGCCAATTTAGCAATGACATGGGTGTGCAATTAATTAAGAGGGTTGCAGTGAGAACATAGTCCCCCCAAAATTGAAGGGGAAGTTTTGCTTGGAAACGAAGAGCCCGAGCTATGGTGAGGATGTGGCGATGCTTTCGTTCAACCACTCCATTTTGTTGTGGTGTTGCAACACAACTATGATGGTGAATGATACCATGGTGATTCAAAAAATCCAACATGGGCTGAGAAAAAAACTCAAGTCCATTATCACTACGAAGGGGCTTGATGGTTGTGTGAAATTGGTTGGCAACAAGGGCAGAAAAAAAAATGGAAGAGGGAAAGGGTTTCAAATTTGAAGCGCATTAAGAAAACCCATGTGCAACGGGTGTAGTCATCCACAATAGAAAAAAAAAATAATGAGCACCCGAAAGAGTGGGAACAAAATAAGGTCCCCATATGTCACAATAAACAAGTTCGAATGGTGCATGAGTGGAAATCGTACTAGCATTAAATGGTAAGCGAGTTTGTTTTGCAAGAGGGAAAACATCACAATGAAAATGCAAATTCATACTAGGTAGAGAAAGAAATAGTTGACAAAACTTATTTAAACGAGCCACTGAAGGGTGGCCTATGCGTTGATGCCAAATTTTGGGGTCGTGATGGTTGGTGAACATGGAGGCTGGTGGGTTATGTTGGCTAGAGCTAGGCTGATCACAGTCAAGGTAGTAGAGGCCACCACATTCATTCCCCCGTCCAATCACCGTCTTGGTTGTGAGGTCCTGAAAAAGGCAATAGTTAGGATAGAAAGTGACTGAACAATTGAGAGCAAATGTGAGTTTACTGAATGATAATAAATTAAATTTAAAGTTAGGCCGGTGAAGGATAGTATCAAGATGCATGTGCTCATTGAGGGAAGCAGAACCAATAGAGGTTGCTTTGGAAGTACTACCATTAGGTAGAGTGATGGGTGCAAGGGTTGTTGTAGGGGGGGTGTGTTCTTGAGAATTTCCTGGGTAGAAGCCATGTGATCAGTGGCTCCAGTGTCAATGACACAGCTGGTATTAGACCAAGCTTGTGAGAAAGGGCAAGAAGTACCTGTGAAGTTTGCTATGGAGGGACCAGACTCAACCTCATTAAGGAGCTTGATGAATTGGTTGTACTGTTCGAGAGTTAACTGAGGAACAGAGGCATTGCTGGAGGTTCCTGATAAATCTGTTGTGCTTTGCTATTGTGGCTTGTTGTTATTTCCACGATGATTCCCTTTCAGGTGAGGGGGATAACCATTTAATTTATAACATACCTCTCGGGTGTGACCAAGGATGTTGCAATAACTACACCTCTCTTTGCTCTTAGTATTACCACGGTTGGAATTGGCAATGTTTGCAGTGGATGTTTTCTCATTGGGTGCCTTCGCAATCAAACCACTTCCTTCAATGGTGCTAGATTAAGAGTGTACAAGTCTATGTGTTTCATCTCGCAGAACTAATGAATATGCCTTACTAATGGAAGGTAGTGGATCCATCAACAATATCTAGGATTGAACATTGGAGTATGTGTCATTTAGTCCCATAAGAAACTGCATAAATTGGGTTTGTTGAAGATAGATGGAAAACTCCTTTGAACCCGAACAAGTACAGGATGGTGGTGGTGCGTGAGTTGTGAGCTCATCCCAATGTCCTTTGAGGGTGCTGTAATAGACTGCAATAGATTGAGAATACTGTTGTAGTGTGGCTATAGACCTCTGCAACTGAAAGATCCTAAGGCCATTGCGAAGTAAAAAATGCTCCATGAGATCACTCCAAACATTAAGGGCTGATTCTGCATAAAGAACGTTGGGTGTCAGGTCACTATGAATTGCATTTAAGATCCAAGACATGACCATATTGTTGGCTCTCAGCCAAGCTCCAAAATTTGCATCGGTGCTATCTGGTTTCTCGATGTTCCCATCTACGAAGCCCAATTTGTTCTTGGCTGACAATGCCATTGTCATGGCACGAGACCAAGAAGCATAGTTCTCACCAGTGAGAACATTGGTAACAAGGACCATTCCATGATTGTCAGAATGATGAAAGTAATATGGGCTGCTAGGGTCATCGGTGGTCATTGACGCATTAGCTAGATTTTGGGTTTGTGAAGGGAAGCTAGAAGCCATGGATCGAGCCTGGGATAATTGCAGCTCCGATACCATGTAAAATCTGGGTCAGTTGTATATTTCGTTAAGTATATTCAACAGTATTTAATGATATTACAGGAGTTTTGGTACAAGTGGCAACCTTGAGATAGGATAAGATAAGATGAAGTACAGGGAGAGAAAAGTACAGTTAGAGATAAGATAAAGATAAAGAGGGAGAGGGATAAATAATGAGGGTGGAATAATGAACTAGAGTCTCTAGCTGTGTTGATTTCACATAGGTGACGTACACGTAATTTTTTCTAGTTGTGCTTCACAAAAATATACAACTGACCCAGATTTTTTTCTGGTTTTGCTTCACAAAATCTTAGATAGATAAATGGGCTGAGGAGGAGCTATTGTATAAACCAGTGGGTTTGGATTCGATTAGCAACCTCTACCTTAGGATGAGTAAGGTTATCGACCATGATAATCCATATTTATCCCTTGGGGTGAGCAAGAAGATAAGTTAATTTGGAGACCCAACTCAAAAGGGAAATTCTCAGTTAAAATGGCCTATAATGAAGCAAGCAAAATGTCTAGTAACCATTCTTTGATCCCAAATGAGATAAACAAAATCTGGAATATGAAAACCACTCCGAAAATCAAAATTTGCATGTACCTTCTCCTAAATGAGAAGCTCCCTTCCAAGAAATGTTTCTTTCTAGAGGGACGGATATCGATGGCTTGTGTAATATATGGGGCGAAGAGGAAGACATAAATCATATTTTTATTAACTGCCCAATGGCCAAACAAGTGTGGATTGGTGGAAGTCTTTGGTTTGTTATGATGGGAGGAAACACAAGGATTTGTTTAGAAAAGAAAATTTCTCCCTCTTATTGTGGCACTTTTGGAAAAATCGGAATGAAAATATTTTTAACAAAAGGAATGTTCCCCCTCCCATTATTATAGTTCGAGCCTGGAACTCCTTCCTTGAAATGGCAACTTAAATGGAACCAAACATGGGTATTCACAAGGAGAAACAATGTATTCCTGTCAAGTGGTTAAGCCTGAATATAGATGAAATTAAGATAAACTATGATGCTTCTTGTATAAATGGTCATTGCACAATAACATGTTTGCCAAAAAAGACCATAATGGCCAAGATTCTAGACTACAAGGCTTACAAGATTGGCTTCTCTTCCATTAATCTAGCTGAAGCATGGGCTTTAATGTTGCTCTCAATTTTAACAGTAAAAACATAATTATCAAGGGTGATTCTAAGCTGGTGATTGATTGTCTGAAGAACCGGGTGGAGCATACTTGCAAATTGAAGTTCATCATCGAAGGTTGTTGGTATTTGATAGAAATATAACATTGTATTTTTTTTTTTTTTTTGAAACGGAGAGAAAGGTAATATTGTTGCGGACTGGCTAGCCAACCATGTGCATTCAAATGGTGCATCTATTTCTAGTATTCCTAGAGACTTAAGGCCTCGTTCGCTTTTCGGTAAATTACTTATCCGGGTAAATACAGTTACTTGGGTAATTTTTCCTAGGAAACACTTACCCAGATAAGCGCATTTACCTATGTTCTTTTATTTCTCATATAAATAAGGCTATGACCATATTATCTATAAAAATCCATTATTAAAAGGGGCATTTTTGTCTCATTCAAGTGTTGGCAACTTTCCCCCAAGTAGGAAAGTTATTTACCCACCTAGGAGATGGGTATCACTTACCTAGTAAAATAAACTTTCCCTGATTTTCACATAAATCTGAAAAAAAAATTATGGGATTCTTTGGTCAATGGGAATCAAAATCCCATCGACCAACTTTCCCCTTCTCAAAATCCAAAAAAGAATGCCCCCTAAGTGTCATTTCTTATTTTGATAGTTGGAAACGTGCTACCCGTGTTGTTTAGTCCCGTATTTCTTGATCTATCAAAAAAACGAGTTTAATGGGTAATTGCCAGTTACTCTATATTACAGGGGCTGTTTGTATTTTTTTCGTTTTTAATCCATCCTTT